TGCGGGCACCGGGCGTGCGTGGGAACGGGGTGCGGGCACAGGGTGTGCGCAGGAACAGGGTGCGGGCGGGAAGCATACGTTTCTTCAGGGAGAGGGACTTGTCCTCCAGGGCTGCTCTGGACCAAGCACTGTGCCAGCAGCCCCACAGCTATTCATCAGGCTCCAGCGACCGTCCCATGAGGCTGTGCTATGATCCTCTCCAGGCACAGAGAGCTTTAGTCACCTGCCCAAAGTCACACAGTTGTGAGCAGAGACAGGGGAATCTGGCTCAGACACCACATGTGCTGCCCCTAAGGCCACGTCCACCCTGGCGGCCTCCTAATGTTCCCACCAAGCAAGGACCCAACCCCAGATGCCCACACACCAGCGCTCAGCCTCCTGCTCTGCGCAGCCTCCCGCCACGACCTTGCCCCCTACGTAGGGCCCAGGTGGACACTCATCCACGCCCCCTCAGCCCCGTGTCTCCTCTCCTGCCACATTTCAGGAACACTGACTCAGAAGGTGCAAAGCCTGGACTAAAAAAGCCTCTGGCGTGAGGATGTAAAGAGCCCCTAGCACCTCCTCTACCCACACTGACTGTGGCCACGCAGGCAGAGCCACAGGATCCCCCGCAGTCCACGGCATTCCCGAGGCTGCACTGCCCAAAACCGTAAGGCAGGACCTGGATCTGCTCACAGGAGTGAGGACCCAGGGCTCAGGGAGCTCGGATCTACGCCCACATCTGTGGCCTCCTGTGCCTGAGGGAGAGCGTGGTGTGGCTCCTGCCCAGTGTCAGCAGGAAACAGTCCCCAGAGTCCCCACACGGATGAAGGTGATGGTGTTGGAGGAGCTGGGGTAGAATAACTCCAGCTGGCAGCCACTCCAAAAACGTCCCTCGCACCAGAGCACGAACACGGCCCCAGACGCTCCCTCGCACCAGGGCACGAACACGGCCCCAGACACTCCATCGGCCGCCAACCCCGCAGCAGTTGGCCTTGGAGGGGCTGCCCTGGCCAGTCGCCCAACAGCTGAGTTTGAAGCCAGTGAGCTCACTTTTGGCCCAAATAAACAAAAAAGGCCCAGAGGTCTCATAAACAGTTTCAGGAATGTTCCAACTGGCTGCGTCTTCTGTGACAAGAGACCCAAACTGCTCAGGGCTCATGACCTTGGGAGCCCCATGGCTCCCCACTCACGCGGGCAGACAGCCCACTGGCCTGCGGGTGCGACCACAGCTCACTGGACAGGAGCAGCGCATGAGGGATGGTCTGGACGCAGCGGCTGGCTCCTCCCTGCCAGGGGGACAGGGAGGCCCCGGCACCAGGTTCCCCCAGTGCCTGGCCACCTGCCTCTGCTGCGTGGACATGGTGGGGGCAAGGAGGATGCTTTCTCCCAGGGCGGGGGCAGGCGGAGGCCAGGGCACGAGAGGAGCAGCACTTGCAGAGGGCGGCGGAGCTTAGGAATCAACAGTTCGTGGCCAGGAGGGGCTGAAGGGACGGGAGGCCCGGGCGGGAGGAAGGGGACCCTTGGTGTCTGCTGCTGAAACGTCAACCTGCACCCAAGACAGGAAGAGGAGTCTGGGAGAAAGGTCCCTGCACAGCAGGGTGGCCGAGTCCTCAGGAAAAGCAAAACAAACGCACAAGAAGGCCCTCCCTGCAGAGTGCGACTCAGTTACCTCGGCCCATCTGGGACACAGTAGGTGGCACCTAAGTTCTTTTCCCTGGAGGACGCCATTCTT